TCATTTATTAAGAACAAAAAACATTAAAAAACAAAAAGCCAATAAAAATTTGTTATTTTGAAAATATTAATTTGGTGATGTTTTTATACTGTAATAACATTTTGAACTTTTCAAAGCAAACAAATTTGGTTCTTTTGCCATTTTCTTCCATATAAATATGCCATTCATTTTTATTTCAGAAAATAATTTTTCAACAGTTACTGTCATGGGGCTAAATATCAAACAAATTTCTACAATTTCCACTAGACTAACTTGGGAAACAAGATCAATGATTGGGTAAATATCTAACAAATTGATAGAATGTGTAAAATCGACCCTTTAAATAATTTCTTTGTCGTATTTTGACAAATGTAAAGACTCTGCAAAATGATTCTTTGCATATTCAACAATTAAAGCATAACATAAAAGGTATAATTGGTGTTTTAGAAGTTCAATTTGGAGCTTTAGATTCGAAAACGAAGAAGGTAAAACAACTTGTTTTTCATCCAAAAGTTGTTGTGGAATGTTAAAGACATAGAGTAAATTTTCAAGTTTGTGTGCATCTCTTGTGTTGTTTATAACAGTGTTTGATACTGTTAAACTTTCAAATTTTGAAGTTTTCATTGCTTTGGTAGCATCAATAGACACTGCTACTTTTGTGAATCTTATTTTGAAAAATACAATTAATTTCCTCAATAGTTCTTTGAGTAATATTTTTTCATTTTCTCTGGATTTATCAACTAGGGGGATCTTCATAAATTGGTGAATTGCCGCTTACTTTATTAAGAAGTTTTTCAAGATCAAGAATACACATTTGAACTCGATCTTAATAAACAGGAAGTGTACAATTAACTTTTGCATGGAGTCATTCAATTTACCCAATGGAACCAAAATATCATGAACCATTTTTAATTTTGCCACATTGCTTCAATCTTCAATATTAAAATGATCAGGTACTTGTCTTTTTAGCACTCCATTTATAATTGGACCTTTCATTGAAGCCAACATTTGTTTGTGGTAAACAATACTAGCCGAAAATTGTGCAACTGGGTAAATGTTTTACAATAACTGTTCAATATTTCTAATAATCCAAATCAACCTCGTCAATTGAAAGGTGCTCATGGAAGTCATTGCTATTTTTTTCAACAAAACAAAATTTTACAAAGCTTTTTGACACTCTCACTCCTTCAATCCATTTTACGATATTTAAGACATCTCTGACACTTTCATCTTTGCACAACATTTCACAACAAAGTGAATTCCAATGACCGAAACACCACAGTCCTCCACAATAACGCCATATAATATTATCACCTTTTAGTTTCAATGCTCTTATCAATCCTTTAAATGCTTCAATAAGACCTTTGGTTGTTTGGTTTTTTATGCACCATCACATGATAGAGACACAGTTTTGGCAAGAGGTGTTCCTTCATTTTTTAATTTGTTATATAACCAAATTCCCATATCTGCTCCATTTGTGTCATTGGTGTACCTGTCCAAATACAATAAACATTGTTTAAAATTATTACCTGTACACACTCTCAGCATTACACAAAACATTTCTTTGTCACCTTTTGTTGATGAATCAATTAACAATCCAAAACAATGACATTTCTTTAGTACTTCAACGAGTTTCTTTCTCTGAACTCTGTTGTATTCAATGATATTACTTTTACAATTTTAAAATAAAATACCAAGTGTCCTTACAGTTCCAATTTGCCTTTTAGCAAAAACAAATAAGAATATTTGAAGTACGTTTCTTACTCCTTCCGTTTGTGATTCTCCCAAGTTATGATCGTTCATTTCAATGTTTATTTCGAAAGAACACATCTTTCGTCTTATTGTTCTTACTCTTGCTCTCTTCTAATTGTTTGATTTTTTCCAATTTCCATAATTCGGTTATTTAAATAACTTACAACTATTTCTAGTCTTTCATAATCAACTCCCTTTTTGGCTCTCATCCACTTATTGTAATAACCCACTATTGCGCGGACATCCCATTTAATGATATTCTTATCACCAAATTGCTCTTTAAATTTCCCCTATGCAAAGTGGTCAAAATTAGTTTGGTCATCATAGTTATCATGTAACGCTCTATCTATAATGACCTCATTATCACCTTCTTTTTTGTCTTCTTCCTCATTTAATAATATGTTATTTTCCATCAAATTACAATCATTTTCATCTCCATGATTATCTTGACTCATAAATTCATTGTTGATTGTCAAATTTTTCAGAGACGTTGCACAGTTCATATTTGTCATCTCTTCATTATTGGGTGAACAATATTCAACATCTATACATCTCACATCATTACTACAATAAGGTCTGCTAACTCCACAACATAAATTAAAAACATTGTTAGTTGTGTTTATTAGTATTTCAAGTCGTGTGAGTGTTTTTCGTGAGTTTGTTAGTGTTGAATCCACCGTCAACGAAGCCAGTATCGGTTGGATATTTACACCTGATGTATCCAAAAAATTATTTGGGCCAAAGTTATTAGTATCAAAAACTTTGTTTTTTGATCTTCTGTTTTTAAAAATTGCCTTGTTTCTGTACTTTTCATGTTCTTGAATTATTTTTCGAAGTTTGGCATTTTTATAAAAACTGTTTTCTGAAAAAGCAATTTCGGCGTCCGATTTCAATTCTGAAATAAAATCTTTATATAGCAAATCATAAGAAATTAATTCAGTGCCGTTTAATTCTGGTTTTTTCCCTTCTTTATTGTCAAGTTTAATATGTTTATTTATAGTACTTTTGGCAATACATATCCCCCAATGTAAGCAATAAAAAGAAGATAATACCTCCCATTTTGCTTTTGAAAAAACCTTGTTGAAAACGGCGGGAAGAATAAACGAAATCAATACTTTCTATTACGACCATCTTTTTGATTTATAAGATGAACTTTTTTATTTAACACGTTAGATTTATTTTTGTTTTTTAATCCTTGAAAAAATAACCAAAATTATATTTTTGCCCAACAAAAAACTAAAGATGGAAAATAGAAAGTTGTTTATCAAATAATTAAATATACATATATATATATAAACTATATTAATTAAGTATTTATATACAATTATAATAGATACGATTTTTATATAAAAAATTTTACTAAATATTATTTGTTCTTTTTTGTTTTATATTATTTTAAAAAACAAAAAAAGAATGGGTTATAAAACTAATAAAATATATGTCTCATTTTTTTAGTTTGAGTTGAAAGTTGTTAAGTTTTTTTATCATTTTAGTAAACTTTATGTAGTTTTGCTCGCAGACAGCAAATTGTTGATACATTTCAGCAACATGCTTTCTTGGCGCCTCTTCACTGAAGTTAAATAGATGCTTGTACTTGTCTGGAGCCAGGCCAAGAAATCCGTCGAGTATTTAAAAGAGGAGGTTGTTTCCGACTGAGAGAACAACGAATGTCTTTATCTTCCCAATTACAAACGATGTCATTCTTTCTTTGATAACTTGAAACAGTTGTTCTGCCATTGCAGCAACTTTGTTGCCACGTTCACCAACGTTTCCTGTGTCACTTTTTGCAGATCTTACTGTTGCTTAAAAGTCGTCGACCAATTTGTTTGTGCATTCTATTTTCGGTTTGTCGATGAATCCCTGAAAAAAGACGTTTTCGTTTTCAAAACAGTACCAAGGTGTTTTTATGTCTTGGTTGTTGAACATCTACAAAATCAATAACGACTTTTTCGGTTGTCAACTCGACAAGATTGAGCCAGAAGCCGACAAGTGCCTCAATGAACGATTTTGCCATCGCTCTGCATTCCAACAACGACGATTTTTAGTGCATATATTGGCAAGTCATAATGGAGACTATCCGGCTGGCCTCATGCCTTGGAATATGAATAGAAAGCCCAGAAAAATCAAATGACGAGGCTCCTCAAAAACAAAGTCAGAAAATTTAAGGTACAGTAGGGAAAACAAATATTGTAAACCTGGTATATATCGGATGTTTTTAAAATAAAAGGGAAACTTGGTTAATTTATTTCTAATATCCCGTTTTTGTGTGCATTTATATTTCCGTTATAAATAAATGACTAAATATTCGGGATTGTGTCCTATTTTATAATCTTTTTAAAGAAAAAGTTGTGTGGCAAAAAAGTTGCAAAAAAATGAAACAGGTTTAGTGGAGTTTTTTTTCAAAGGATGGCAAAAAAACAATTTTTTCTTTTAGTCTAATAAAAAATAAAAGGGAGAAAAGGAAACGTGTTAATAATTTAATTAATTTAAAATATAAATAGTTTTTGTCTTTTTACCATAATTATTTCAAACCAATCAAAAAATAATGTTACGACGTTAATATGATTTTTAATCGTTTGACTAGAACCCATTAAATGTTTACACCGCCCAATTTTATGATGCTACACCGTCAGAACCACGTGCATGTAAGTTTCTTGTTGTATACAGAACATCGCCAAATCCCTTTAAAACGTATCGATAACACGATTTGAATATTTTGGTTGTAATAATTAAAGAACTCTTGGTCTCTTCAGTGTTTTGTTGAAATATTATGCCGCAGCACGCTGGATATTTCATCAACAAAAATGCAAATATCGACGACACACACGTCTCGCTTTGAACTTTTTTGCTGAAATGGTTTTGACCTTGCAACTGATGGATGACTGAGACCAAATGTTTGTCTTCTGAACAGCCCAACAGTTGTATTTAGAAACGATCAATGATTTGAACACACATTAAGTCATTGTGTTTACTTTTTACTCTTTGCGCTCCACATAGATTCTAATCGTTACCGCGATACTTTGTTCAACAAAAGAAATGTCTGCACCATAATAATACATTGTATAACGTCTATCAATAACGTGTAATACTCGATGGA